TATAAGGCAGTCATCAACATACGCATGTACGAAGTTGAGACCTCGAAAAACGTAGTCTATAAACCTTTGGAAGGTTTGTGTCGCGTTTCTTAGACCGAAATGCATTCGCAAAAACTCGCCGAGTCTGAAGGGAGTTATGATAGCTGTTTTCGGAATATCGTCAGTAACCATAAGAATTCGGTAATACGCTTTAACCAAGTCGATTTTCGAAAAGACAGTTGTAGCCTTCAAGATAGCTGTCAAATCATCAATTTGAGGTAACGGGTAACGAACGGGAAAGGTTTTTGCGTTTAATCGCCGATAGTCACCAGCTGGACTCTATTCGTTGCTGTCCTTTTTAGGGACCACGTGCAACAGAGATGCCCATGGGGTGTTTGACGGTCTTATGATACCTAAGTCTATCATGTGGTCAACCTTAACTTTTTGGGGGCCAGTCGGCCTGCTTTAGAGAATACAGGTGGTCCTGTAGTCGTGATGTGATGTGTAACGTTGCTGGTTACACACTGCAATTTCGGTTTCCATTGGTATATGACAGAATACTTATCGAGTAGTGGTTGGTAGAATGGGTCTATCGTGTGCTTAATTGTGACTGGAGATAATCTGCAACCAGAAAAAGAAGTTCCTCGAACAGATACATTAGTATTTCCGTCTACTAACCTCCGTTTGCGCGTATCGACGATTAAATTGTGGTGCTGTAGAAGGTCCATACCAATGATTGGCATAGAAACATCTGCAACAACAAAGATCCAGTGAATGGGTTTGCGTAAAACCATGTTAAGGTAAGCGTACCTTTTGCCATACGTAGAGATAGGCTTTCCGTTTGCTGCCTGTAGATTTGGAACCGATTCGTGAAGCCGGTCGTTGGAATTCTCTGGGTGAGCACTAACTTCTGCGCCAGTATCGGCGAGGTAGCGAATTCTCGTTATCACATCTGTGACGTATAAGAGACGGCTATGTTCGCCGGCTACGGTTGTCATTAACGCGTGCCGGCTTGCAAGTTTCCCGAATCGTTTTTCGTGCCGATCGATTTTGATTTGGGGAAATGCAGGGTTTTCTGCAATTTCTGGAGGACTTTCCATACTGGTTATGATACCAGCACCAGTTGGGGCTATCCGTCTCTCGTGGTTCAGAGACAGATCGCTTACGTGATAAGCTTCGTCGCGTGGTGTGTGACCGTTTACGGTTGTTACGAAATTTATGATAACGTGTAAGTGTATGACATAACTTTGTAATGTCATTCTGTGTCGTTTGAGGCGTTTCTTTGACTGGAAAAACCTCGGCATTAGAAGATTCCGTGATTTCAAGGATGCGGTAGGCAGATGCAGCCAGCTCGTCTACGGCGTTGTTTTGAAACGAGACTAGCACAACTTGCACCTGTTGAAGAAGTTTGGGTAAGAAAAGTTGTTTGGACAGGCCATCATCTAATGTTCTTCGGCCGATAACCTCTCTCATTCTTTGCAACATATCTGTCACAGAACTGTGTTGCAGATCGATGTTATTAAGGAGTTCGTCTAACCTTTGTCGATCGGTTAGATCTACGAGTTTAAGGATAGATCGTTTAGGTGTTTCTTAGGGTTCTGAAGCATCACTAGTAAACATACTAGGTGTTACGTACCTGTTGAATTCGCGCGGTAGTGCCTTGACTACTGCGAAGAATTGTGCACGTGTAACGTTTGTAGCGTGGTGTCGAGTTGAGCTTGGCTATGAACACCGCTACAAGACTACGTGCCAATTAACCAAAAAGATCCTCGTAGACCAATATCAGAAGGCAGATAATAGTAGTAGTTGAAATATATTTGCTGGCAATCTCGTGGTATCGAAAGAATACCGAGATCGTGCCAAAGGACTGCAAATGCGATCGGCAAGAAAAGGTACGTGCGCAGTCGCAAACCGCGTAGAAGTAATGGAGTACAATGGAAGACCAATATGGCTGTTATTAGCACAGTTAAACAAACTAGCACAGTAAAACAGTCACTGGTACAATTGGTTATAATAATAATTGTTTTCATCGAACCGATCGCGTTCTGTTGACAAAAGTAGGTCACTACACGTTCACGCTGTGCTCGCAGAGGCTGGCTTCTGCGTAGCAGAACCAGGCTTCAATGTTGTCTGGCCAGAAAGGCATCAGTTGGAACGAGGGTGGAGACATGGTCTTTAACTTAAGTACCTTGGGTGTCTGTTCAGTAATGGTGAAATATCAAGTACGAGAATGAACGAGTGAGAAATATATATATCCAAAAATATCATAATGTCTAAAAAATTAAAATAAGGCAGTGATACATAAAAGCCCAAAAAGGAACAGACTCACAGTTTGTCATTTGGTGTACCAGATCACGTCGGGCTCACCAATGAAGATGCCACAGGTATTCGGAGTTTGACAACGCTTTAATCAGTAACACCTAATATGAATCGTACCCACCAAGTGAAGTCAAAAGACAGAAGCGAGGAGGTTCGAAGATATATTTGATAGACTATCAATATATCGAGGATCGTGTGATCTAATCTGGATAGCGATTGCAGTAGATGTTGAGCACGGCGTTCCCAAATCGTGATCTGGTGCGCATGCATGACCGAGCATCTTCATCTTGGGATGTGTCCGGCGAAACTAATGGGGTTAGCGTCAGCGTCGAGGACCTTCGACACCATTTATTCAATGCGGTTTATTTACTATTACAAAACTAGACATACACCAATTTAGGTACATGTTTACCCTATCACTGTAGTTCAATGAGGTAACCTAATATTTGCTTTCTGTATTTTGAATAACTGTTTGACCAAAAACATGTCATATTTGTTCGTTACTTCCAGGAATTTTCACATCTAACACCTCGAAAAGTGTTCGAAAACCGCAAATAAATATGTTGAAGGTTGGATTCAACGTTTTTTCATCCAGTTGCCAGCGGCTCTAATGTGATATCTGTAGATCACCAGCGTGGATGATCTATGTCGAAATGATTGGTGGCTTACTCGAGTTAGACGTGAGTGGTGTGACAAACTAGCTGACGTTGAAGTCACACTTTGCGGTCAGCATCTTACGTGGATTACCCCATTGACGTATCAAGGTACTATAGATGCTTTGAAGACTGTACAACACAGAGGACGTTATTACAGAAATATATTAGTTAAAGTAGATACAAGAGAAGGTAAGACCACTGCCGCATGGGCCAGTCCATGGCGTACGATCAACTGATGCGCGTTGGTTGTCCTTGACATTGACGAGTATTGATGATTTTGTTCGATATTCAATGGCTAGGGCTCAGTGGAATTTCACTGGCCCTACAATACTCCCCCACCAGATTCAACGGCCGTTTGAATCGGTACCAAACATGTCGGTAGTCGCGCGCCGGAGATTGTCAAACGATTAATATGAATCCTCTGGGTATTGCCGAGCTGCAAAACAAATGGAAACGAGGCGGCAGAAACTGATGGAGAAACAGCAAGTAATAATAGGTTGGTAAAACGTTGGTTAAACGTAAAGCCATTAACCATAGAAATAATAAAAAGAACTTAACGTCGCGCTGAACTATATAGCTTTGACAAGTAAGTGAGTTCCTCAGATGAGAAACATTAACTTTGCCGCAAGAGCAATGATGCTATAGCGATAGTAGGATAAGTGTATTATCAATCGATACGGATGTTTATACTGCCATTGATTTAAAGATGAATGTCAGACAGTGTCGTTGACAACTTCTAGCTATATCTATATTTAACAGACTAACTGTAAGTACAGAAGTATAGTCGTGATTTCGTCATGCGAGGCTATTAATCCACTTGTAGTCAGTTTTGAGAGTCGGTGACTGCTGTTACAGTCAGTACGGGTCGAAGGCTACAAATCCAGAGCAAAGACGGCACTGTGAAGTCTCCAAAAGATGATAAACGATGCTTGCTGATTGTTTGTTTGATTAGCGAATAGAAAAATATCGAAAAGACCATAAGAAACCAAGAGTGTTACTCTGGACTCATGTCAATGACACCAGTGAAAAACGCTGTCAGTGTTGGGATAGAGGCGACAATGTCGTTTTCAGTGTGCAGGAGATTCGCTCGACTGCACAAACTGATGATTCGTGCAGATGATAATGTCGTCAGATCACCAATTGAACTGGACAGGTTTTAAATCATCGAATAGTTGAGCAGCCGATCGATGTACCGAAATCATCTTTTAGATAACAGACACGAGGAAATACTTCATAACATAAAGTACGATATCCAAGTAGAATAACTACAATAGTTCGTATGTATTATAAAGTCAAATTTAAATAACACCGTTCTTACGTATACTGATAGTTGCGCTGAACGTTCGTTTGGGTATTATCAGCGTAACAGTTGGACGTTTGGAGAAAAGTATATACGAAAACTATGGTTGGGTTAGTGGAGAATTTTCGAGGACGTTTAGATATTTTACAAACCATTATTGCATACAAGTAAATCGAAAATGGAACTAAAATGACTGTCGTGTAATAAGGAGATCGAGCCATGATTTACCGTGTGAAACAATAGCAAATACAAGGAGTATAGTAAACATTAATTAAAATGGTAAACACCAATGTAACTAAAGTTTAGAGGGTTCAGGTAACGTGGCCATTTCGTACAAGGCTGATGCAAGGAGCTTGTTACCTAGCGTTAAGTGACATATTACGTACGACAAAGTGTCTACTCAGGACATGAAATAAGATTGTTCGTGTACATGCAATATGTTTTACCATATTATGTCGATTAACGAGTCACAAATGTACATGATTTCGACTAACACTTAACGGAAGTGACAGAATATATGACTACCTAACATGAAAGCAACTACGAAATGTTATTACTCATCATAAAGATAGTACGAAATAATAATAATAATATTTTATTCTCAAATAACATTTTGTTACATGAGGCATGCCAGTTTACAGGCAAGATCAAACTGTTACAAATGATACAAATTCCAACTGTAGTAAATTACTCAGCTGGGTCTATAATTTATAAGATAGGAATGTAGAATGGTTTTAGTCAGTATCACAGTTAGCGCGCTTCATGAAAGTTGCGTTGCGACGTGCAACTGACGGTCGATAATAGATTCATGTGCAGTTGAGGGCTTCTAGAAATCGCAATCTTATATCCCTTTGGAATATTTTAGTTTTTAAGGATGATGCAAGACGGAGTCACCCGTTCCGTATCTCAAGGGGGCTGAAAAATGGTGCAAGTAAACAAAAAAAAGGACGAGAAGCAGAGAAAACAATGTTCATGGAGAAATGGTTAAGGTATGACTACTCAGTCTGATTCTCTTTCATTAAAATATTTAGTAAACAGGAGCATCCTAATAGGTTAAAGGAAATAACTGTAGACAAGGTATGAGTGGAATAATCAACTGACAAATGGAGGTGGTTCAGAAAGAAACTGAGAATATGTAGTTGTAAAATATAGTGCTAAAAGCAGTGTTATGATACATAAATGACTGTCTCCCGTTTTTTGTCGACGCTATTGGAGCCTTTTTTAGATTTTATAGGGTCTTGAGTAGGCTTCGTCTTTCTTTATTTTTATTTTATCGGATTGTCTAGTTTGCTTGTAATAGGATTACTGGGTAGGAAGTTAAACCAATTTAACATTCTAAACACGATTTAATGAGGTATTTTGCATGATAAATCATCATCAATACCACTAGTTCGTGACATTCAACTAGACCGTAAGGAGCCGTAATTTAACAAAATGTTCTGCCCTACAGACATGGGTGGATTGAAGTTATCTCCCCGCCATCATGTTTGCTGGTCAGTAACGCCACCCTCCTAATGATTTTATGAAACTCGCCTGGGTTACTCTTGCTTCCAAGTAATGAAGATACGAAGTGGACAGTAGTTGAAATCTGGATTATATACGAGGTACTGTTGATTAGATTCTTCGATTAACACAGCGTTGTAGACTGAATTAGTACATGTCCAGAATAAATTCAAGCCAAATACGTAGCATTGCCTGACGAACAGTCTAACCGAGATCTAAGATTGCAGAACATTTATAGTTCGAACTCACCGCAAATTTCTAGCATTTGTATCCTCTGTTTGGCCATGGAACTCGGCAATTGGAAATTAGGCAGGCGGTGGTCAAAAATAGAAATATTCTAGTGGATATAGGTTAAGCAGGAATACGAATTTAAAGTCGACAGTTAATCTTGTCTCGCATAAACTATTGGATAAGTTACAAACCGATGTGCGTTCGCGTTGCCTTGTGGCTATACCCACGAGTGGTTGATATTTTAACAGACATATTACACAGGAGCATTTACATGCTGCTAATGCTTGTTAAAGAACCACGATAGCTGATTATAACCGTAGTTGACTAGTTAGTTCTACCTACTGAACTAGTTATTTGAGTTTAAATACTAATCAACATTGATATGAAGCAACGAAAGTTCACAGTAACAGATCAACATAGGCGATGATAAAAATGGAAAAGAATAAGTATAGATTGCAATAATAAAGACTATAATGATAGGTTGCGTTATTCGCAGTCTTGCTCACCAGTGTAGATCACCAGCGTGGATGATCTATGTCGAAATGATTGGTGGCTTACTCGAGTTAGACGTGAGTGGTGTGACAAACTAGCTGACGTTGAAGTCACACTTTGCGGTCAGCATCTTACGTGGATTACCCCATTGACGTATCAAGGTACTATAGATGCTTTGAAGACTGTACAACACAGAGGACGTTATTACAGAAATATATTAGTTAAAGTAGATACAAGAGAAGGTAAGACCACTGCCGCATGGGCCAGTCCATGGCGTACGATCAACTGATGCGCGTTGGTTGTCCTTGACATTGACGAGTATTGATGATTTTGTTCGATATTCAATGGCTAGGGCTCAGTGGAATTTCACTGGCCCTACATATCCATTCAAGTGACATGCGTTTGGAAAGAAGCTAGATCTAAACAGGAAAACGAATATTAAGCATAAGCACTTTAAGTAATCAACTATCTACATTATTAATAAGTGAGGACATTCGACTGCACAACAAAGAATATTTTTTAAGCTCGGTCGATGTACCAACTTTATCTATGAAAACTGATATTATGTAAAAATAAACGCTTTCTGCATACACAAACCTTAACACCCGTAAGCCTGATAATTAAAGGGTATTAAGTTCTCATCGCAATCACTAAAACACCTCAAACTCTACGTAACTACTTTTGTTTATATTCTTCAAAGATGGTAGATTCGGTCGACTATGAGCATCAGCTCACTAATTAAGAAGGCGAATGCTGTATCCCAAGTTTCTAGGGATTTATTCAACGAAATTCAACTGAAAATGAAAATACGATGCATATGAAATATTTGATTTCACTTTCGTTTCCTTAGACTGGATTCTTGACTATGATTGTTCTTAATAATTTTCCTATCAAAACTGATGCACTTGGCGATAAAAAAGTTGAAACAATTATGATACATTCCAATAAAAGAGAAGCACCTGTTGCCAGTCCTCCTAAACTAGATGACAACGGTCATAAAATCCCTCTAGGTAAAAACATAGCCTTCTTACAGAAGCAGCATGAGGCCATGCTGAAAGGTTTGCATCAAGAGATTGAATCCTTGAAAAAAATTAATAAAGGTTGTGGTTATTTCGTATACTTTTATTTTTTCAGACTTGCAATATCGTCTGGTAATGTGTACGTGTTCTGCTGGCTATTCTGATGATGATTTACTACAAAGTTAGGCTAATCTTAATTATATGATATATTAACTAGATAAAACCAATGAGAACTCCCTAAAACAAGAAATATTGATTTTGCGGGAAGATCTTGAAAATGAAAGGAAGAAGAACGCACGTTTGATTCAGCAGCTAGAGGAATTGGAAGTATCTCAGAATCCTGTCAGAGGGTAAGAATGTTCATCAAACGTTTGTCTTTTACTAAACGCCTTAAAATCACAGTAGTACCAATCCTTTACATCATGTATTCACCTGTTTTTGATATTTCAAGAATCCTTATAAAACATCACAGATTTAATTGATAATTGTTTGGACTATCCTATGGTTTAAATTTTTATCTGATATTTGATCCGTTTTAGTTGGCATACGTGCATTCTTTGCGAATTACCTCGGTGCAGCCAGCATGACACAAGTTTATGTGGAATAGATGGTATTATTGATTGGTTTGTATTGTTTCATGAGGTATATGAAGTTCATTTATTCATCCCTACGTTTTTATTGGTCTTGGGACAGTAGTTTTAATATTTTGTAGAAATTATTTCAGTATGCAAAAGCAGAGCGGTTGTGAAGATAACCTTTCTTTTATCCAACCTGCAGTTTTACTGGTATTCACTCCACCTAACTACTTCATCTACTTTACTAGTTTGATCCATGCGATCCATTTGTAAATTATCACCTCATTCTTTAAAAGTGTAATGAGGAGTGGAACAGATTTTTTTGTTTTTCAACATAAATGTCACAGGACTCTGGATTTAATCAGTTTATAGCTGGATTGTATGCTCTGCATACTCCCTACGTTTATTTGATCTATCGAATGATCAGTTCTAGAGGAACTGTTGAGAATGGACGGTTATACTGAATGATATTTGTTACTCTTAAGTTGGATGACAAACTTGATAAAGTTTCAGAAGACTGAACAAGACACATAGAAAGTAGGCGAATCAAATACTTTCTTAATTTAGATGTTAACACATACAATAGCCGCCGAAATTTTATTATGAAAAACTGCTTGCACTCTGTGCATTTACTCGGAATTTGTTGTCTTCTTTAGACTATGATGCTTACGAAACACTAACCCATTATCGTGGGTGGAAGTCCAAAACATCATGGAGAGGATTTTGGTTTCGAACATAACCCACTAAAATATTATATTAATAATAAGTTACAAAATGCCTAGCCTTCTAATTTACCAAATTAAACAATAATTTGTGGTGTTCGTTTAGTCATGAGTGTCAGTGATGAGAAGTCGGCTAAGCCATATCCATGTAGGATTCGGATTCAACATTGAATATTTATGTATTGTTAACACCCACTGGAGTACAGAAAAATACATCAGATATCTAACGCGTCTTTTCTACTAATAAATAAGATTCGAGTCAAATATAAACAACACCGCTTCATCACATAATTTCACAAACATAATCTGGTTTCTCTTTTGATATCTTATCTACTTTTCATAATACAGACGTCATTGTATCATTAGCTCAAAAATAAACTTTTGTGCTGCATTAATTTAAGACCCTTTATATTCCTTTTGATGTTCTTTAACGGTAAGCGATAACTACTGTTTTTCCACTCGGTGAATGATCGTATCTATTTTCATTTTTTCATATCGGTTACTGACGTCTGGGAAGTCAAGTGATATTACTTCCTAAATTCAACAGTCAGAAAACTCCATTGTAAAATATCTGCCCCACATCTCTTACTTCACCTATGGCTTGGAGTCCTTGGTATTAACCAGTAATACGTTCTAACGGACACTTAACCTTGAGTTGATGTAGTCATACTTCTGTCAGTCCTATCCCCAATAATTTCTCTGTTCTCAACTTGAAATCTGAAAAGAAGTATCCAGCTAAGATTCTATCATTATATTTTAACTACCCAACTCAGCTATCTAAAGTAGATGAACTGATAGGAGTATAACTACGTTAGCTCAAGGTTAATTGTCCGTCAGAACATACCACTGGTCAAGACTAAGGACTCTAGGCTATATAAAAAATAGGAGACAGGGTGGTTTTATTTTCATTTAATTAGTTTGAACCTTCTTTATTAACCGAAACACCTATAGACAGTCCCATCTGGATACTTACAAATACTGGTACTTTTGCACATATGTCAACTAAGACATCGATAATGTAGCATACTTAAATTTATCTGTATTTACTCACTCATATCTTTCATTTCAATCAAGTTCAGTCTATTGTAACCCTACTCATTTCTAATCTAGCTTTGATTTATGAGTGCAAATAGATAATCCCTAGAATGTTTTTCAGCTTTCATCAGGTTGAAGTAAGGGTTTTTATAAAGTGAAACCTATTATTTGACGAATGTTCTCTTCTAGTCTGATTTGTCGTATGATTTTTGACGTGGTCGTTTTAAAGTACGAAAGTAGGTCTTATCCTATAGGGCCACCTACACAAGCACATTGTTGTAGTAATTTTTGAGATTTCCGACTGAAATTATATGAGGTGAAGCAGTCTTTTTTTACTTTGACAAACTTAATCTCATTACTTAAATTTTAATTTCAATTGACTCCTTATGAAATCCTATTACAATTTATAAGAAAAATATACTTTTGGTGATTTAACTAATCAACTGATAATGTGTCTTAAATGAGTAGATATTAATTCAACAGTCTAGTCACAATTGTTTTTTCACTTGTACATATTTTACTCATTCACTCTAAAATGTAACCGACTTAAAATTGTTCTTTCATTAGTTATGGCCCGTTAAACTAGTGGGTTTTTTTTACCCTTTCATATTTTAAATAAGACTTCCAAGATTCGCATGTAAAAATGGACGATTGTCGACATATTCAGGGCAAAAGAATATTTTAAAGAATAATGAAATGTCCCAGAGTTTAAATAAAATTCAAACTCACCATGATAATAGTGGATTCTTAAAAGGATGTCAAGATGTCCCAAGTAAAAATACCGATGTAAGTCATTGTTGTTATTATACTATTGAATTATTAATAGTGTTTTATAAAGTACTAAATTATTGTTAATAAATCTAACTTCCATGAGTTTAGGTCACTCAATGTATTGAATTTTAAAGTTTAGTTACATGTCCTTAATTGTCCAACGAAAATACCCCCAATAATTTTAATGATAGATGTTTAATGGCCGAGAACTGTAAAGTTACTTACTGTACAATTTAGACTTTGGATTTATGGTATCGTGACCAAATAGAGGAATACGCATTGAAAGTTCTTGATTATCTGATTTTTATAGTGATGTTTTTAAATGTAATAAATAGCTCATGTTTCATTAAAACTGGTTAGAAACATGTATGTTTGACTGCAAGCATGAAATTATTCATCATCTAATGAATATACAGTACTGAATAATTTATTTCAACTGTTGTTTCTAATAAACTTTCAAGTAAATAAAACCTAGTTTATGAAGTCCATTTAGAATCTGTGTGATAATAAAGATATGTACATAATGCTCTAAAATCCTCTTAATTTATCACACAAGCCATGTCCATCAGACAAATCAAATGTACTTCGACGGAACTAGTGTATATGACATCCAATAAGTCTTTTTAAAATTTTTACTTTCATGCCGTATCTATAAGATATTTTGGTTGCTTATTCTTTCAAATATGTAGCTACCGATTTCAGACTCAATATTTTGAATTAGGGATTTCGCTTTAATGAAATGCTTTAATTAATACATCAATAAAGTCCTATAACTCACAGTACTAAATATTACCGTTAATGGATAACAGTAATACCAAGAAAGAAATAAGACCGTTAGAAGTAGTATTAATACCGATTAGAAATATGTTTTATTGATGTGTATAAAATAAATGTTTTACTCTTCATTTGAAGACATATTACTTAGCCATACAGTAATTAGTCATATTTGTAACACAAGGTATTTTGAAGATGGTTTACATACAATAATGACTTCATCTGAATAATTATTGAAAACTAGGTAACCCCAAACAATTGTGTCATTCTAGACTGGAATTCACAACAACAGTACCCTACGTCACCATCAGGAATCGAACCTAAGACCTTCAAATCTTACGATGAACGCATTACATTCAGATCACTGAGTTACAAAATAATGGTTCTCGTTTCTAACGTCATTTGATGCAAGATATAGCTCAATCATCAAAAATTGATCACACCTGTCCCACTCCAGACTTATCTGAACTCTACGGAATTTTTGCCATTCAATTATAGTTTTGAAAATGTTCTTCCTGGAGGGAAATGATTAGGTAAGTAACTTAAAAATTAGTCACAGGATTCTAATATCAAGTATCTAAAGCAGTAAGCTTATCAACTTGCGTCTACCAATATCTCTGGATTAGTTACTCCTTCTCCTAAGTTGCTATCCACAAAGTAAGTTACAATCGAGTAAACTTAACATTTACCTAATAAACTATTATCACGGAGGTCGGTAGATGTAGACCACCAGGCTTAAGTCCATGCAGTTATCATCAATAGTTGATGTTGAGCGGCACAGCTCAGAATAGATCACATTAACATAAATGCCTTCACCCATTCTTTTCCTCTTGACTTTAAGTTTTAGAATCCTCATACTTTTTACCCAATAAATCATACTTTTTAGGAATCATGTTGTCTGCAACTAATCTTCTCTACTACCACTAATATTTTAATACTTCTACTACTCTATCATTTGTCTTGATACTTCATCTTTATATTTTGAAATGGTGTGACAACTTGAGTTGATGCACATATGTGCCTAATTCTACATCGCTTACAAAACTGACTGACTGGCTGAAATAAAAATAACTCAATCCTTCCATCATCTGAGTTCTTTTTAAAAATTTCATCTTATTACTAGTATTATTATATTCAAACTGGGCTAATATTCATAAACACCATGAATTCTAATTTTTCTATCTATGAAAAATTCTCAGTTCATAACAGATACAGTCACTGTAAATAATAACCTGATAGCACCTACAACTGGAACATTATCAGTCAATAAACTTATACCAACCACTTCTCATTCAGTTCCGATTAAATCATCAACAACGCTGAATATACCAGGAAATAATTTCTTGACAAAACGAAGTATTCTTCATTCATATGATAATGAACATGTTTTTGAAAAACAAGGAGAGGAAATAATCGAATCAAATGATGAATTAATCAATACACACTTATTACCATTTCGATTACCTGCATTAAATTTTAGAAAACCACTTATTCAAGCTTCACTGAGTAATGAACAACATAAATTAAATACAAACAATATAAAGTATTCACCTACACGTGGTTCACTAAAAAATGAAAAAATGTAAGTCGTTTATTACTGTTCTGCTTCAATATGTATGTATAGTTCCGTTGTATAATACTTCGAGTCTTCGCTTCATAATAGTTTCATTTTTGTATGACGTAAACATCTTACAAACGAGTAGTAGCGATACTTGTATTAGGTAAGCAGATCAGTCTATGAATTTATTAACTGATGGTCTATGTAATACGATTATGGTGTCCCGTGCCTCACCACTCAAAATGTTATGAGACAATAACTGAAGACTGTTTGGTGTGCTTTGGAATTAATTATGATAGAATTTTTCACGTTTATTTTTTTTGTTAAATTTTGAATATCTCATCATTTTTACATATTTTTCTCCTACTCACCAACATCCTTTTTGCTATTCAGTTTAGCACTTTCTTTGTAATGTATTTTTCAAGATTAGTTTAATCTGTAAGTATTTTTCGTCACAGATTAATCTCATTTGGTTTTAATGGTCAAATGTTCTCTGCGAGACCTAGAGATCCTATTTTTGACCCCCAATGGGGTAGTGGTTGTGCGCTGCTGATGAGTCCCATACTAGGATGAAGCAGCTTTCCAGAGTTCCCTAGTTCTCAATGGTACTTCACTTGGGTCTAAGTGATGACGAATGGAACCTAAAAATTAATACTTGTATTCTTTAATATTCTTGTTTTGACAAGGGTAGAAATTCAAACCGACCTACTTGATAAATATAAATCCTAAATTTCATTCATTTATAGAGATGAGTGTATAACACTACAAGTATATCAGAATTTTCCACTGGTTATTCATTCAATAGTACTAATGTAACCAAACTCTAAATTCATTCCCTTAAACCCCTTCTGTGTATTCACAAGATATCTTTCATAGTAATCAAATTGTGAAAAACTTGAGTAAAATTAGAACTTGAATTCGATAACGAAATTATTGTAACTTAAAAGTAAGTAACTACACCTTAGCTTGAGATGTTACTGGAAAAACTATAAAACTTCAATTAACTGCTTCTAGTTTCAAGCTACGAAGTAATACTTTCTTGATACTTATTAATTGATTAGACGTAAAAGATGATACTAAATTATTGAACCGATGTTGTTCGAACTATTTTAATAGATAAAAATGGTTTAACAATAGTTGGTTAGAACCCTACTCCTATTCTGATTTCAAGAAACAAAAGTGATATTAAGCAATATTAAGAAGTGACCAATTTTTTTTATTGAGATCATGAATCGACTAATGTTAGACCACCATTGGAAACCTGGAAGCACTGGACGGCCGTTTCGTCCTAGTATGGGACTCCTCAGCAGTGCGCATCCACGATCCCGCTCGCGGGATTCGAACCCAGGGCCTTCAGTCTTGCGCGCGAACGCTTAACCTACTCGAATTCCGCGAGCGGGATCGTGGATGTGCACTGCTGAGGAGTCCCATACTAGGGCGAAACGGCCATCCAGTGCTTCCAGGTTTCCAACGGTGGTCTAAAATCAGTCGATTCATTATCTCAATCAAAAACTTAATAATCTCCACAACCCCAATAATGATAAGTGACCAAATAATTTGATCGTGAACACATTGTTCTCGAGTGATTAGAAATATATGGGCTGTTCAGTCCCTGATTCCCCACACTGCGGAGGGATACCCTTTTAGTTACCTTAAAAGGAAATTGGGTCAACAGTGGTTTTGGTTTCCACAGAACCCAAGAAGCAACTGTTTGAAATCAGTCATACACGAGCAGGTCCTATGTTGCGTATAAATGACTGTCTTTGATCTGTGTGATCGAGTTGTTTTATATATTTTCATGTACATAAATCGTAGCTGAAGACCCTTCACATAAACTTGTTCTTGAAAAATAAGCTAAGTTAACTACATCTGCCTTGATAATCTATTTTTTAATTCATCTTTCTCTTTTTCGCTCTCTAGACATTTACATTTCTGCTGATAGCTCTAATGTAATTTGTCTATAGTTGTTTTATGTGTGAAACATGTTAGTTTTCGGTTATACTTTCTGATTAACAAATATTTCAGTGTGTATTTAAAAGATATGATAACCAATTAATTACCAGATACACGACTGCTTGTATGTCACTATCTTAATATACAGTTGTTACTCTTCGATCGTAATTGCTGCAATTATTGTATTACATGCAGAGAGCGTAAAGTGTTGTACTTTTAAAATGTATGCTATTTTTTAACCAACCTATAACTACACGACTATAGGCCAAAGTCGTCTGAAAAATCGATAAAAACAAAATCTGAGACCTTTTCACGTCCCACTTAGTTGTGCAGTGTTTGGTAGTCGGAGAGCGGTCAAACTAAGACATGACATCATTCCATAGAGTCATTGACCGTTGGATGCTAAACTACCTGGTTGGGGTCTGTACAGTTAGTCAGGATTAACGATTGAAGACTTCTAACATGTCTCAGAATTGACCACAATAGCGCAGTTGCATTCACTATTTGTTTTCCCTGAGATCTTTACTTTTAAAATCTTGAACTTTTTATTCTATAAATTAATTTTTTCTTCTCGAATTATCTTTTCTATGTCAAATTTTTTCTACTACTACTACTACTACTACTACTACGGGTGTTGTTACCACTTTTACTACTCCGACACATGTCTTGATAATTCCATTTTTTGCGTTGAAACGGTGTGTTTCAATTTGAAGTGATTTATATGTTTAGGACTGACTATTTCGTTCTAGCTTGAAATTGATCAGCAGAGTACAACCCAATATCGGGTTTAACTCATTATCTTCAAGTTTCGCACCGAACACTGTTATTCAGTCGTTACATTTTATTGATATTTTTTCACGATCAATTAGCTTTATTGATCGTTGACATGTGAATGAAAATGTTTAATAAATCCACTTACTTAAGTCAGCTGGCTAATGTTAAATACTTTGGCTCATTCTGCTATTCAAAGTTGAATTTATCTGGTCATGTCGTTAACGAGCTTGAATGCAAATAAATGTTAGAGCCGTCTGTTGTTTTACTTACATCGAAATCATAGTTTCCAATCAGCTTCACCTAATTCAAATTAAGAAACTGTCATCATGAGATATATATTAATTGTGGTGAACACTTGAATGTACAGACTTGTATTTAGTTAACATATTTCACTTTAGTTACTATTCATAGAGATAGTACTTTTAGGCACTTCAGCGTCGCCATAAATTATGGTCTCACCCATATTTCTTTCTGATGTTTCATGGCTTTATCACTGGTGCACACGTATATAACTTTTTTAAGTGAAATGAATAGCTACAATATAAATGTAATATGCCAAGTGTAAATAAACCTATTCAGATTTATACTCTATCTAATTAAATACATGACTTTCGAATAAATTAAACTATCGTACAATCGTGTATGGATTCGAGTTATTCCAATTTTTGGAAGTATAGTAGATTTCTTTGTTGGAAAAGATATATCATCATCAATAGTGTTCAGTTGTCATATTGTTTAAACTGTTTCAGAGATTTGACCAAATCTATCCATTAAATTTTAAGTTCTTGGAGGTAATCAACAAAAGAACCTGTTACAATCTAGGTTTCATGCTAGTTAGTAGTCGTCAGTATGGTGTACCTCTAATCTTTAGAGAATTGATACTCTTTCTAATACCATTTTTCTATTTTTAGAAACTTGAACGTTTTTGTGATCACTGTGTAAAGGTTGACTGGAATGACTAGAAACATGTAATTATGATATCTTAACCGACAGAAATTTTTACTATTTTCCTTACACAAAACCCCGAAACAGTTAACATTGAAACTATTCATCATTCTCTCTCACCATACTTAGGAGATTATTTAAAGATAAGATTTATTACTTATGAAATCTTATCATGCATTTACCTTCAATAATAATAGGTACTGTACATGTTACAATTCACTCAATTAACATGTCCTTTCGATTTCGTTTGTGTAGTCCTATGTTGTCTAGATTATCATAAAATATGTGCTAATAAATATTCTGTTCTAAAATAATTTTAGCAAAGCAATATTTCTACATGAGGTTTCGGCATAAATTTCAATGATCAATAGATATAAAGTATTATTTTAAGAAATAAGGTCAAAACATACCAGTCAGTCGATAACCACATTAATACGATGTTAAGGAAAAACTTTTCATGCATATAAGTTAGAATTGAGGCTATGAGAATGGTGTTTAAAATTTGATGTGTTTGTTTCATTCACAATCTTAACGGTCATTCTTCATCTTTTTCTTGTCTGTATTCATTGAATTACAATAATAATACCCCTCATTATTAAGTTTAGTCGAGTTTTCATTTCTAGGATATGAGATATATTTGTTACAAATCACTTAGCTTTTAGTTAGTAAAAAAGTGCAATAAAACAACTACAAGGTAATTCTCACTTACAAGTCATATCAAATACTCCAAGCCATTAAAAAACTAAAGAATACTAACCGGTTGTTTTGCTCTTTCCTAACGTTTTTCAGTAGTACATTGCTATGATCTCCAATGTAGACATTAAAAATAAAACTTTCAAACCACTGAGTTAGAAATTAATATTTCATATCTTTCACTATTATACAGATTGACAGAACACTTCAAACAATGTAAGCTTATTCATAAAAAATTTGAAGAGATTAGAACCCCCATGGTTCAATCACCTTACAAATTAATAAAACATTTTTTTGGTATAATAACAAGCTCGTTACTGTTCTTTAACTCAACTAATTTTACAAAAAACAGAACTAATCACCATAAAAATTAGCGTAAAATGAAAAAAATATTATTGAGTAGTAAACTGATGATTAGAAAAAAAACTAGATTATTCTATAATGTTCTCTTTTAACACGTGTATCAAAAACAAAATCATTTATTGAACACTCAAATATAATAATAATGATAATAATAATAATAATAATAATAATAATAATAATGATTGAATGTAAATAAGATGATAATGATTTCTTTAAAACAAAAATATATCATGTGACATATTAAGTAAATGTTCTACTAAAATATCGTATTACGTAACAGATAGTATCAACTATCTCATGATTCAGTTTATCAGATGATGGTTTTAGAGAATTAAAATATTACACACCATTAGCATTTCACTATTCACCGTAAAAGTAGCATTTATAGTTTGATTTTTTTGTAAAATTGAGAACTTTCTAAGATTATTGATTGTGGCGTATTTGTTAAGGCTCTCCAGATTACTTACCATTTTATATTATTAATAATAATAGTTTAAGACCAAGATTACGATAAGGATAAGTATTATTTCTTTTGTACGTACAGTTCTAGCTTTAATTCATGGATGGTAAGAGCTTCTGGTGTTTTAAGGAGTTGAGTACGAAGAAATCTAGGTAGGTTTGGAAGAATTGTATAAACGACCTTAAAACTAACTAGTGGATCATTGGAGTGACTAGATGTTTAAAAATGGACCTTTCAACTGCTTTCCTCACACCCTTATAGAACCACACTGAGACATGTTCTCGTATTCAAGTTAAAAGCAAGCGCTGGCTACTGCCTATGTAACTTGCTCCACAATAGCAGGTGAAGTGCAAGATGTACATAGAGACGGCCAGACGAGGAGGCTTATACTTTACGGATATATAAGACAAGTTTCTACCAGTGAACGTTAGTCGCAGCTTTGCTGCATAGAACATTCATTTTATCACTTCAGTTAACCGATTTTTAATTATATCAGAAGTTTGGTCACCTTTAAATTCCAAATTGTGAGAGTTTACCTTGTTTTCAGTCAGTCAGGAAACCAGGTGATACTAATGAAGTTATCCGGACTAACGATCAGTAAATTAGTAGATTTCTGTCGTACTATTGTTAAGCTGCTAGTCTTAGTACTTTTCTGACCCACATCAGTTAGTGTTGCATGTTTTGATAGAAAATGGGTTTATATGACCAACACCTTTTTGAACCTCGTAAATAAGATTTATTTTATAATTACAGTCAGATGACTTTTATCCTGATATCAGGGTGTATATAGAATAGATTTCGGGAATTCTATCTTAGTTGCGTAGCATTTTTCCTCATTAATTGTATTTCACGGTTTTCTGTTGATCATGTACTATCACTTAACATCGGAACATAGTACACGTGGTGTCGAGTCACCTAGGTAACTTGATCGATAGAAGTCAATCAACACTAAAGGACTAGACAAGCATGACATTGGTCACTACTTAGTGAGTAACGTGAAGTGGAATCCTAAAAAGTGCATCAATTTCCTCAAAGTTTCAGGTAAATCTTATTGATGAGTGCCAACTAGCATGAAATCTAGGCCTTAATAGGATTTCTTACTGGGTACCTTCAACTACCTAAAATTTACACTTCAAATACTTACACATTCTTCACTAAGTTATTCATTTTAGATAAACACTATTTCATTTAACGGATATGATATTTATTATGTGTGAGAGTTTGTTATCACACTTGGCTTATTTTTTGATTGACAAACTTTACAACCTAAATGAGACTATATATCTACTTAGTGATTGTGAACAACCATTATTAAAATCTTAAGTAAAGTAAAATGTCTTTGAACAAAATATTCAAATACCTCTTCTTTTTTTCTCATTTTCATTTTAAATCTTATTAACTCCTTGATTAATTTATATTCATGATTATAGTTTAAAAGTAAAAGAATGTAGTTCTCTATAAACGTCAAAATTTTCTCTATTTTAATTGTCTATGCTATTCAACTGAAACCTTATTAACGAACATGCTTAAAAACCCATATGCATATACATAGATACATTAAGACTAAATAAAACATTTCTTCAATCTATCTGGTCTTTTTTTTCGGTCGAATATTTCTTTCAATAAGTTGAATAGTTTGTGAAGAAGGTAGTTCTGAAGAAAAAAATGTTCAGAGAAAAATAACATGTCAGTTAAGTATGTGATAATTTTAATGACATATTGAGTGTAAATAAAAGAAAAGAAGGGACCTTTTTTCTTTGTTTAAACAGATCGAAATTCTTAAAATAAACTAATGAACTAATAAATAAAAACTTTCGTCTAATTTTGAACCAGTAGTTGCACAATATTTTGGCGCCGAGTTAATGTGAGACATTAAAGAAGAAGAATGTTGTATTTGTGAAATCTCAGCGAAAGAATTCGAAGTAAATCCAACGTTTCACCTGGCAATCTGGTTCAAGCTTTTTCAAGGGAAATATCTTCCTTGGATGTGTCTAACGTTGGATTTACTTTAAATTCTTTCGCTGGGATTTTACAAATACAACATTCTTCCTCTTTAAATTGATGAACTGTTGTTTCAATTATCAAAAATAATATCTTAGTGTAATTATATTAAATATGATCGTTTTCCTAAGAAAAAAAGACAACTACTGATAAATTATTCAAGTCATGAGATTTATTTTCATGTATTTCTAAATAAGTATCAACGTTTGTTTTCATTTGTGTATCTAGTATAGTGAGACCTTTTTGTAATTAATTTACAACTAGCTAAAATCGATAATTGTGTCTATTTTTATACTACTTATAAGTAAAACGATTTTTTAAAGGAAATTTTGATGTATATCCAAGTGGACAGTCACACTATTACTACCATGAATTTAACAATTTACATGCTCATTATATAGGATCATTAGATTATAAAGTTCACTAATGATTAGTTCAACTTATCCCAGTCAGATCAATAACGTTCGCGTTAATCAATAACGCAAACGACCATATAACTACTGAAAAATTCTAAGATCTGTTTTTCTACACGGCTTTTCTTATTCCCATACCTGACGAGAACACCAAACCAAATTACCTTTGATTTTCATGATTCAAAGACCCAGTTACAAGATCAGAACGCCACAATATATTGGAAATCTCATATGGTAGCTCATATAACCAGGTCATTTGTGGTAAGAAAAAACTTTGAGAAAGAGATACCAAGTTAATAAAATTTGTGAATGGAAAAAGATATATCAACATTTGGTAAGTTAATTTCTCACACGAGGATGCAAGTACATCCGTGTTAAATAGAACGAAACGTATACTAGTCACTATCCAACTCGAATTAAAACTTGTGACTAAATGGTAGTATCGGAACAATCTGCACTGAATGGACATATGCCAACAGACAAAAAGTTTCCCCAAGACTACTAACTTTAGAGAGTTCTTCAAATATATTTGGACTAAGGTTAACCGTTCGCTATAAACAGTTTTAAAGGGGAAACAACGTAAATAGCTTATGAAGCATTTAATCATCAGTATCATTGAAATGATATTTTAATTTAACCGTATAGGTTTTTTGATTAGAACCAAATGAAATTGTTAAAGCGTGTTTTATATATAAGTTAGAAATTGCTAACGTTTATGTAACATTATTGTTTGTACTAGTTGTATGATGATGAATGCACAAGATTAGCGATTATCAATATACAATATTTAGGGAGGTAAAGAGCTTATGCACTGATAAACATATGATATTAGAAATCAGTATTTGAAGATATTAAGTGATATACATAACTTCTTGGTTGAGTTGTGTTCGCCGAGCTAGATAGTTTGATTTCAGAGCTTTCATTATCATTCAGGACATCTGGAGCACTTTTTTCACATAGAAGTAGTTTTCCCAGTTATTCTACACATGTCTTATCAGTTTGTTACTATAGCTTGTTTGTGGTTCCGTCTTCTTATGTCTTTTTGTCTTCTTTGATTTTGACTGTCTTTCTCGATTGACCTATTCCGTATGATTCATGGATTAAGTGTGTTTGTGGATTACTAATCGATTAAATGTCATGCTTTTAGGAATTCCCTGGCATTCTTAGAGTTTCTCCAATCCACAGACTTCATTACATACTGTCCTGTTTTGAACAAGTTGATCGATATCTAAAGAAGCAATTCATCAATAAGTTCTGTAATATTTCTATACTCTTCGTATACTGTTCTCATTATCTCCTAGCTTCTCAAGTTTTGACCCAACTATGCGCTTCTAATGGAAAGGTTAAAATTGAATTTGAATCCAAGAATAACCGTAGCTACTATTAGTTCAGAACGTATGCTCTTCTTCTAGTCCAGCCAGTAGTCCGGTAATACAACACATGGAGCAGTAATGTATGTACCTTGTGTGATTCAACTCGTACAGTAATATTGATCAGTTTCTTGAACTCACATAAACATGAATATAAAATTATAATATCGGCATGGTTACTCCGAAAGTAAAAGAGAACGGGACGGGAAGGTGACTGATTAGTTATCCATAATTAAGGAATACTAGAATATACAGCAATACTTAATGTGAGCTCATTGGAAGCTTATAATAAAGAGAATATAGAAACACAGTTATCTACTAATTACACAATAAAAATAATAACTAGCCGCAAATTAATCCCAAAAGTTACACTTTCTTCAACATTCGTTCTACCACAACATATCCTTTTATTAATATTCTTCACAATATTGTGTGTAAATTTTGTTCGGCTTATATTTCTGTTTCTCTATACTAATCATTCAGTGAATAAGTGTTTCTTTCTTCAAAACTTTTCTATGAAACAAAATAGATTCAATAGCGAATTAAAAATAACTCGTCCAATAAAAAGTGCCACAGGATACAATAATAACTCAACTACATCATTGGAAGTGTCCGTTAATAATCTACAAACTGAATCGATTGATTCAAAAACCTCACATGATCATTATCAACAATTACATGATTTAAATTTAAGAAAAGTTACACAAGCTTATTCAATTGGATTAAAACCATTTCTACCATCATTAATAAAACCAGCAGATGTAATGATGAATCGTCAAAACGATCGTCATCAAAAGAAATCTACAAAAAGCTTACAACGTAAGCGTGTACAACAAAATATTTATCCATTTTAAATGGTGATAATAATAATAATAGTAACAATTGAAAAAGAAAATCAGCATTGAAATTTTGTTTAAATAAGTATAGATAAAGATAACATTCCATATATTTTTATTTTCAATATTCATTAAACTAATAAAAAGTGGTGAATCATGCAGTGGAAGTCACTAATCGCGTTCGTTTGAATAAATTATGTTTGTTGAATATTAAGAAAAATATTTTAGTTATGGAAGGCAGCAGACATATTAACAATGGAACAGTTCAATGCTCAATAATAAAATCATGCAACAAATTTAACTCTCAGATGGAATTCAAAGGTTAAATTATTTAAAATGTAAGTAAACTTTTACTTAGTTTATTATATGAAGAAAAGAAACAGTTTTATAAAGACAAAACGGTATTTTTATTGGTTCATATTATTGTTTTCAAGATTGTTTTATTCATTTCTTCTATCATCATCAACAACAATTAATTATAATAATTTGTTTTACTATACATTTATGCTTGATTCATCTGTGAGAACACTGATAGATTATTGTCAAGATCATTATGTTTGCTTGTCATTACGTAATTACTGACTTTTATCATTACTAATATTATGATTATCTAGGTATATCAGCATGAATACATGTGAATTTATACATCATAGCGGTAGTTACACTATACAATAGTAGCTAACTTTCTCCATTATGACAAATACCTATAAATTCACGCCTATGCAAACTACATATGTATATCGTCTATCCAATCAATATACTCATGTGCCATGACACAACAATTGTTGTTCAGATGGGTTAGCATTTATATCGGTTGCTTATCACCTTTGACTTTTAATATTGTCAATGTTCGATACACGTTTATGCAGAATAATGTTGAACAAGTTAATCTGTTTACATCTGACTTTTCAACAAAACGTATTGTCATCTACATAATAAATTAATGATGATGACAATATATGTTAATGAAACATGTTTTAAAATGGTTTACTTACTATTTTCTTGTGTTTTACTAATCTAGAATAGAATCAAAAATCCAAATGACAAACCTGAGATAACTTGAACTAATTAAGTGCAGTTTTTATTAGTTTGTAGTGTTGTTAAGTAAGTCAATATTTATCATAACGAACGAATTCTTTGGAATGAAATAAATTGACCCATCCACTCCAATATCTCACTAGTCCTTATCAGTATTTGATCTGTAAAACTCCAAAGAGTTGTTGACAAGCGAAAATATAAGCATTTCTAATCAACCTAAAATTACTGTGGAAGAGCATTTGAACGGATGATTTACAGTGATTGGTTTGACGATAACATTTGATAACCTATGGGATTATTCAAACTATGCAGTAGCATAAATTACAATTAAAATCAGAGAGAGCTCATTAGTTAACAGACTCAGAATTTAGTTAGACAACCATCCATCAGTTTTCAATTAATATTACTACAGCTTTCTGTGGAATTCCAAATACATTTTTTAATCTGTCGAACGAACTAAGTAAATACGGTTATGAGACAGAAACGTTATCACCTACGTAAATATTCAAACTTAGTAACAAATAGTCTACTGTTATTCACTGTTTTGGCAGAACAGTCAGATCTCAGTTTTCAATTACTTAGCTTGTAATTTGATAGAAATATGGTTGTCTCCATTAGCTTGTGTGTTTCCCGCAGATTTGGATTTAGCCTGTTCATATTTGAATTTCATCAGCTGCTTAAATGAATTTGAAACTCATATATAAGCTTTTTCCACACTGCTTTCAAGCTGTTCTCTTTTTCTACTTTAAAATGATATAACACGATTAAACTCATTTGTTAACTGTAGACGTATGTACTAAGCTCTAATCCCCATATACTATATAAAGACTAAAAAGACACTAGGCAGTTCTTTATATCGAACCTGTCTGGCGATGCTTAATGTATAAATCTGACTAAGAAATTAAACTGTCGGAGCCATATTTCTACTACAGCGTTTTGGGTAAGGTCACTTTTTAGTAGTTTTCTTAGTTGCAAAAAAAAACTTCGAGGTAGCTACTGATGTAAATAATTGCACCAAAGATTTTTGTGAACAATATTTCCTATCAATATACTTGAAATATATCCAAACACTTTTTGTTGCTTCGTTTCAACCATTATGTTTACTAGATTAGTTAGTTCATTATTACCATAAGCACCCAATCCATCTCGTTCAAAGAACCACGTGACATGACGTATGGATATATGCCAACATCACTTACCTGATGTCTTGATAATAAGAATACGTATACCTGACACTAATCACTTTCTATAATGAACGTAAACAATACATGTTGAGGGAATTAGTTTCCTTTAGAGAAGCACAATAGAAACTATTCTTCAAGCTAAACTCAGTGTATTTCACCTCAACTTGTGCTAGTATAGATTGCGAAACCATAATCAAAAACATTTTGACTGTCAGTTGACTGGATATAAAATCAGCAATGTTTTACAAAAATGTCTCTGAATTTCACCATAAAGTATGATGAAAATTATCACGAGAATTATAATAGATATGGTGGAAGTTGAATCTCTGGTAATCAAGTTCTAATTTCGTTGGCTGGTGAACGACTTGCAAAAGCTGCATCCTACAATCTTTTATGCTTTAAAGTAAGCTTATTAATTTTGTGGAGATTCACTTGACTGGTAGGTCGTATGTGTGATGAAGCTATCACAGTTGCATAGACAAGAAAGTGTCGAACAGCTTCGTACTAGTACAGGACTTTTCAATTCTGGATTTGAACCTTGGTAGGGTCGTCAGTTGGTACTCTTAAGTGGTCTCACACTACTGTAAAACAGCTGTCTATTGGTTCCTGGTTTTCAATCCTACTCTAATTGATGTCAAATGGTGATGAGTATCACCTAGACGTTCTTAGCAATGTCTGTAGTCATGCTTAATTTATTAGTCCCGGACGCATATTTGACTCCTCCTTGTACCAATGTTTATGTATTTAGTTTATTACATATAAGTGTATCGGTTCAGTTTTATTTTCTTAATGTGATCTGAATTAGCAATCTTTATTTGGTCGTATGTCACATACATCTGCATTAATTATGGTAACGAAATCCTTCCTAAGGAATTGTAGTTTCTCTTGCAAAGAGAGAGGAGTTTAAAATAGGCTAAAATATATGGTGTACCTCCATCTATCTTAGATATTTCTTCAAGTAATATTTTATGAAACATTTTTATAAATAAAACTGATTGATTTGTGAAGTAGGGATGTTTTTTTCTATCTGCATTTCATTTTGCGGTAAGACTATTTTCAGTGTAAATCAAAAGAAAATGAATACTACTTGTATTCTAATATAGTAGAACAGATGATGCAACACAAAAACGATTAACAGTATGATAGTTTATACAGATAGACAGACTGTAAGTTTGTATCACAAAACAATACAAGTTTCCTTTTCGAATCTAATTATCGTTCATTTATAAACAATTACCCATCAGTGATTCCTAAGTTACTTAAGTCAAAGTTGTCATAGAAAAACCAAGTCAGTTGCATATAGTATCGGATTTACCCGTTAGATTTCTGTTAAGACTAAGATGCAGTACTTCGAGATGATAAGGAAGACTTGCAACTCAAGAGGACGATTTGTACCAGTGTTGTTCAGAAAAAGTGAGTTTCGAAAAACAACACTAACAAAATAGCATATTGGGACTATCTTTTCTACCTGTATTATATGTAAATTATATTTTCCAAACAAGCGAGTCTTACTACACTGCTTTCCAATATTCACTTCCACCCAATAAAGTATGGAAATCTAGGAAGCTCCATGCTTGTTTCATAAAGAGTACATGTGTGTCGCAGATTATGCAATTTCGGAGATGTTAACTGAGCTTTCGGTATCAATACCGAAAATTTCCCAACCAAAACCTCATACCCATATACAGAACTTAACCACTTAAATCCCTACTGTCAAAGACATTACTGATGAAATCAATTTTGATGTGTCAGTTCATACTAAACCATATTAAACCATAGAAGTATTTCAAACGATCTTGGATTCTCTCGTGGTGCCAAATGATGACAATAAGAAATAAATGTGAATACCTGTCGATTATTTATTTAAATAACAGAAAAACAATCACATAAAATGTATCCTGTGTACAAGAATTCTATGTACAGTTACGCATTCGTATTTTCGCTGAATAAATATTTCACAAAAATGCGATTGTTTAGTTAGTAGAGTTTGGAAATATATTCTATTAACTGGAATTTACACCACACCCATTAAGTAACCTTAATGTGGCGCCTGATTCTCACTTTGGGACAGATTATTTACAGTATTAGAGGTGAATGGGATGTCTGAAACATTCATGGCAGAGTAATCGGAAGAATTATTGTTATTAATATAAAGATCTGTACCTTCTAATTTATGACATTCCATTATTTTTTCATCACAAATGTTTACAACAGAAACAGTTGTCTCCTGATCAATTGAGGTAATTCGTACATTAGAATTGTCGTGTGGTGTGAAATCTGGTATATTATCTGGATGATTATAAACTTGTGACACTGAAGTTTTAGCTAGTTCAGTAGCAAGGGCTTCTTGTTTATCCTGTTCGGAGTTATTATTGTTGCTGTTGTTTGTCTCAGTGGGAATACTAGTTACCTGGGGAATTTCAGACGAAGGAATACAATGTACAGTACTTGGAGCAATAGATGAAGTGGATATTTCAGTCACAACTGCAGGGGAAGAAGGCTCTTTGCGCGTTTTGAAAAAGTCATTTAATATTTTATCCATACTAGCTACACGCGGTTGACGAGGTGGATGTCTGGAAGTGCCTGCTAGACGTCTAAGTGGCAAGTTTGCATTTTGAGCAGCAGCACCAAGTGGAACTGAAGGAATAGAAGGTTGGTTTGGAGACTCATCGAAGTCGAACTCCTTTAACTTTACAATACTAGTTAAGGATTCTGAAACCTTCGGGGCAGGATTATCATTTGTTTCAGTACGAATTTTGGTTGCTATAAATTTTTTTGAGAAAATGAAGGAAAAGGAATGTTGAATGTCTACAGTTAACCACAAGAGAATTGATGAGAGTAAAATAGAATAGTGACGATTTAAAAGTACAAACTGATGATAACTGTAGTTAATAAAAAGCACCAAATTTTTTAACAGTTCGCATCATGAGATTTTTCCGAACGGGCGTTTGGATTGAGTAAATGAGTTCAACGCTAGTCAATAGGCGGTGTGTAATCACTCGAGGTGATCGAGTGATTACTCGCGAGAACGAATTATTGATGTGGTCCCCCAATTGAACTGATATCACAAAATAGTTATTTGCCCAGCAAAATAGATCTCTTTTTAACTAAATAAAATGCTCACATACAAAATACTGAACACGAGAATAAACACGGTTATGAGTTACTTAACAAATAAACGATTGTAGGATATGATAATTATAGGTCATCGACCATCCAACAGTAGTCCCTAACTATCAAGCTTCATTCTTCCCCTGTTACGTATCAGTTTGTTCCATATAAAGAAAGAATGCTCGAACACAAGCTACGGCTCAAATTACAAGCTATCAGGAAAAAACAGTACAATTGACTGTGTAGACCGAAGGACACATGTAACGTAGGACCTAGTACTAAAGAATAATAATCAGGTTTACCACGAATTGAGTGAAACAAAACTAAAGGGATTAATACAAATAAATGAAAACTAAAACGACTCAGATTGTTTTAACTAACGAATACCAAGTCTCACTTATCAACACGTAGATTCTGTTTTAAATCAGTACACATGCTACTCAGCGGTAGATAGTAACACATCCCAACCACATAATTTGATTACTTTATTACACAGTACACTTGTATTGCTTATTTCAGGAGCCCATTATATATGACCGTTAGCATGAAGACATGAAACCAAATACAATTCACACATATCTTCAATTTCCAAGGCTATTTGACATCTAATACAGATTGATTTGTTGCGGAATATGCTGGTTTTTCACTTTATAGTTTAACCAAAAAGAGTGATATAATCGAGTACACTATTTACTTCACTCCCCTCAAAAGTCTTAGTAGCCCTGGTGGGTTTCAAAATCTCAAGATACAAAGACATCGGAATATTTGCCAACTTCTTCAGAAATTCTCTACATACTAACCTATGGGTGAGGAACATGGGCTACGGCAGTAGATATGGACAGGCAACGAGTATTCGACTATAGATATCTTCAAAACATTGGTCATATTTGATGGGACAACCTAGTGATCAATTATGAGTAAAGTATCTTCACCAGCTTAGCTGAGACATGAGTTCTGAACGTTACGACATCACCTATCTCGACAAATGGTGTTGGCGAGCATGGGGATAGGTTAGAGGTGGCCAAACTAGACCACGACAACACCCTGTTTGTCTGAGTAATGTATGTGACGAGACTCCCTAGATAGGATCTGCGTGAGTCGTAATCGATGGTAAGCGACTAGGTAACAGCTGCAATAACACACATTCATCCATTATATATCGTCTACAAACCGAATCCAGATACCAGTTTCATGTGACATTTCTGATGTTTCTTCATATACTAATTTTTTTTATTTTGACTTCACCGTTTATCTTGTACATGCTGAGTTTGTGTCAACTTGGACCGACTCTTGTCAGGTCCCACGCAAATTATCAATGAGTAACTCTTTAATAGACAAATAAAAATTTAGCTTGGCGGTTTTACTTTTAAACAGCGACCTGCTGAGTGGTTAACAGTCCCAAATATCACAAAATACGACGGTGTTACATAATTACAGGTGCAAAACGAAACAGTATATTTTGTTGATTAGTATATCTTATTTTTTGGGATTTTATCTCGATCAAGTACAACTTGGTTTACAACTGGTTATGGAAGAGTAAACCGTCCAGTCGAGTACACAATGTAACGAAAGTTTTGGCTACTATACGGAAAATCCACCCATGTCTTATCATATGATTTGAACGCTTTTTATTTCATTATGGGAAACAACATCTAATGCAAGCAATATAGAAATCTTGACCTAACCATTACGTAAATAGTATTTTTCCAAGATAAATGACAGAATTAACCTCTTTTTTAGTAAAAATATAGCAACCTAGCCGAGATTTAAGCTAAATGGATACCTCGACTTCCTACTTATTCGCAAAGTACAAATGAGATGTTACTGTTTACATTTAAGCCTTTAAGTGCTTCACTTGAAGAACCCAGTATTACCTAGGTATCATACCACATAATTTTTCGCTCAAAATTCTAAACAGTAGATATGTATGACCAGATACTGAACTGTTTTAAACACTGCATATCATAAAGTGGAATAAAGCACAACATTAGTTCTATTGCTCCAGTTTTACCTCACAAACTCATTCTAAAGTTTACTATTTCAAGGATGCACAATCCATCCTTACAAAAAGGGGCCTGCGAATTCAGTATGGAGAAATGGAAGTCCTTTTGTGAGTATCTTGTTGTTTTCAAGCTATGTTAAGCTAGAGACTGGTGAACCGCAAAAAGATCGTTTGGCTTTTGCCAACTTACGTCACCTATGGCAAAGGTGAGATATCCGTCTATCAATTAGAGGACAAGTATACTGCACATATGAGCCTGGTCCTAAATTGTATCTGACTGACTGAGCTACAATTAACATTTCAGATACTTTAGATCCGATTATTGTTCATCATCTCAGTATTTCATAAAAATAACAAGCATGGAGAACTCAGCTTTTAAAAGCATCCACAAGTAACTGAGGCAAATGTACTTAACGACTATCACGACTGAGTTGTTACAACTACTCAAACGTCTTGACATTAAGAACCTGTAAATGATCCAAGGTAGAACATATTCCAAGACAAAGACATAGGTAACTAGCAAAATAATATTGAGGAAACCAGTGTACAACAATAGATAAGAGGGATAGAGAGAAGGAATCTGTGTGACCGTGACTGGTTCCACCCATAGTCATCTGGGATCATTTACATTCAAAGCAGTTGACTAGAAATTCGGAGTTATTTCTTAAGCACTTGAGACGTCGGCGGAAACAGGTTAATTGGAAAAGATATTTGTACGCAACAAGTCTCCTACTAACAAACAGAAAACCAGGCGCGTTTTAATCTGAATGGAGTATATTGTGTACAGAAGTCCCAACTCCCGTAAAGGCAATGAACGATGAACCACATAAATTACTGACAAAATTTAGGGACAAGTACCATAGAACACATTATTTCCTAACTTTGGATCAAACTTACTTTCCCTCTGAACGTTAGGATCAATCTTTCCTGGACAAACCCATTCTAATTTAAGCGGTTCATTTTTAGCGATGGAGTCGTAAAATGGCAGCAAATCAACTAAAGAAAGCCCATTAGGATACTTGTCCATGAACTGAGTGTCATCATCAAGCAGACGAAAATCACTTCCTGACATTCAAATTAATGCTGTGATTTTTAAACCAGCCAATACCTTAAAAACAAAGCAAGACAATAGGAATTAAGTTTTTAATGAACAATTTTACATAACTCTAGTAAAATGGCATCCAGGAACTCCCATCAGCTGGACCCAAATCACCACGAATGAGAAGGACGATATCCACTATCCACCAAATACCGGCCCCACCCAATGTTAGGAGTTTACCGAGGCCTGTACCTGTATGACCCAGACAGAGTCGGTCAACACCAAAAAATCCTAGTAGTAAGCTGTATATGAATGTTGTTACAAAGTAATGTCCTTTGTAATGAAGACAGGGATAATCGGGTAACAAAAAAGTACGATTCCCATAGCACTCAATATTGTCCAAAGCATGACATACAAGTGATGTGAGCATAACCGAATCTGTCGCTTTTCCGCCCCATTTTAAACATCCATATTTCAATTCATCGTATTGAGACTTGTTACTTCTTAAATCTAACAGATATTACAGTTAACAAGGTACCCACCTAATGGAGGTTCACACCAAATGGAATGACGAGGAAGATAAGAGCATTTAACCAAAGGACTCATGGGATCATAAGAAAAACCAGTCGACTCATCAAATAATTCTGAATGATTATCAGAATATTTGAAGTTTTCTACGACCGGAATGTCAAAGTAGTTGCTAAACACGGATATCCAGAGGGAAAGAAAAATAAGTATAACATAATTCAGCGATGTAATTACAAAATAATTCCCAAAATACATGAAAGACAAACAGAGGGTTAAACGGTCCGCCCAAAATGAGTACCATAAAATAATGCCAATGTTGGTAGATTCAAACACTGTCAATATGACATGAAAAGTCGAAGTTCCTATTCATGCGAAACACATTCTACATTGCACTTACACGAGCACTCTTATGATTCAGAATGGTTGGCAGTGTCTAAAGTTCAAAAAACATCTTTGATTACAAATGTAATTTGACAAATTAAACGAAATATCCTATGCTATGACCTCAAGTGGGATTTTGATAGTTTAAGCGTTGAGTGCTTCTTGTACCATTGATGGTCTAGTTTCGAATCAGTTAAGCACAGCCAGTCGTATATGTGTCTCAAACTGAAAACAGGTAACATGGCGGACAATTCTCCTCACGACAGATCGCAGATTATTAATTATCTTCTGATTAACAGAATGCTGAGGCTTTGTCGTGAGCAAATCTAAACTGGAACAACAAATACCTGATGTCCTTATTCAAGTTGCCAGGAAAACTCAACTTGTTCCTTTCAATCATAGTCCTTTTTTGCTGTAAGTCAGTATTTAGAATTGGAAGTTTTGTAGAATTTGAATATTTATTGAGACCTTGGAAGCGTCACTACGGGCTCAAAAATTCATTAAACAACAATAAAAGCAGCCCAAAGTAATTTTCATTTTTGAATCTTGTACCGGCTTTATTCAAAATCCCAAAAGTGTGACTTCGACGTTAGCTGATTCGTCACACCACTCACGTCTAACTACAGTAAGCCTCCAATCATTTCGAAATTGATCATCTGCTTTGGTAATCTACAAGGTCATCAAGATCAGCAAACAACTTTTGGCTAATATGGATGATGCATGTAAGCTTGCCACGTCCTTGTTCCCTTTATCTACTAACGTACAGGCGAGTTTTTTCCGATTTGGTTCGAGGCCTAGGTACTGACATGTCTTGTTGTTTGAATGCTCCTTTTATATCTGGTCATCGCTGATTAATGTGCCGGAAACACTTATAACTTATACTTGAAACGAAGCACCTCTGCAGTTCCCACGACGCAAAGGTAAGAACACAAAGATTGGTATAAGTGAATATTTATTGACCCCCAAATACAACGACGACTCTAGACAAAATTACACTCATTTATACATTGATCATACGCCCATTTTGATTAATAATTAGGATGAATTCACATATATGAAAAATACCTAGAGGTGTAACAAATCACATACTGAACATAATTCATGTCAATTGAATACAAGAATATCGAGTATTATACAGAATAAAATATACGAGACAATAAAACAAATACTTGATTGAGTAATTAATACATTGAATCAAAACGGAATTGATGTTGAACAAAATTCATAATGAGTAAGTCAATCAAAATTTGACTATTCTTTCCATCATACCAGGTAAAATTAGCTGTTTAGTTCAGCCTTGAGGTAGCAAATATGAAAATGTAGGTATTATTAAGGTTTGATTTGATAATTTCGAATAAATTGAGCATTGAGTAGATTGTTGTAAATAAATTAATATATTTGTAATATCCCGATGAGTAGGAAAATTGAATTTTCCGACTTTTTGTGACTCGGTGCAAGCCACTTCTACAGAAAATAAATAACCAAATCAAAATCAATCCAAGTTTAAATAATACGAAGGAACAAGGTGTTTTAAAACTGTACAGATAAGATTCCAAATCTGACTGATTATAACAAGACCCAACAACCACTTCTGCCGATCTTATAAAACACTTATAGGCTTGTAGTGTCGGTTACTATGTTAAACCCACATGACTTATTTTAGTTTTTGGACAAGTCAATTTGGTCATTCTTCTTGAGTCACGTTCTTATCTTGTTAAATATTTATTCACTAACCTTGACTGTCTTTATATGAGCGTATGTGTGCACTTCTTATCCTACTCATTACGTGTCTGTAACTTATTTTTGTGTGAATATAAATATCGTTTAACACTTGATTAAATTGAGTTGGCATACATCCCTTCTCCGTTGAGCATCATTTCGTCTCACTCTCTTTTCTTCACTTCCTTCTGTTCGTCCCTCTTATTGCCCGTCCAGATAAATGATTGTTATACAATAACGCAAGTTAAGTCAATGTTTATATACTAGGATTGACTACGTGTATTTTTCAATAACGATCTATCATACGATATAATTGGAGTCGTATAAGGCGCCACGAAAGGCTAACAATCATTTACAAAAGCGAAATATACATAAAAAAATGAGATCATTTCAATTTTTCCAAGCTGTTTGAATCATGAACCAGGTCCTTTACACTGTCGACTTGGCGTTGTGGAAGTTTTTTAATTCGATGTCATCACGAACTGATCTTTGCTAAATCGCATAAAACCTCGGAGCGATGGACAAGGGTTTCACCGTAGTATGGGAATCGGGCGTACATATCTATGACCCCAAAAACTGATAGTCGGACCCATGACATTCAGTCTCGCCGGTGAACTAACTGTCCTAACATTCCATGGATTTTTATTGTCTGTTGTTCCGGTTATCGCTCAAATGGTTAACGATGACTTTAAAAAATATTGGTTGATGAAGAAAAAATGAATTTATACCATATATGTTTGCTGTATAGCAGCAGCCTCTGCAGCAATAAGCCTCAACAGACACAGGGAAAATAGCGGAATCCTGAAGTGTCACACAGGCAGCACCAAACAAATACTGATTGATGGAGAACTCTGGAGGATGTAGAAACCTTTATGTACCTGAGCAGCATCATCTGATGTTTTTCTTCAAGTAACTTGTTTTTGTACTTTCCAAACCTGTTGTTATTATTGGTAAACTGAGCTAAAACAGTTTGTTTGATATTTCAATGCATCTAAAAATAAATATAACGCCTTATGCAGTCGAGACAGTACGAATGCTTAATATTAGAATTCACTCCCTAAAAAAGTTACACTTCAAAAAAGTCATGCTAGTGATCGTAGTTGTTTTTATTTAGGTCGTGGGCCACAACAGTTGAACTAACGGCCACTGAACAGTTTTTAGAATCTACGGGATGACGTAATAATCTTCGAATCTCGTAATGTACACAAACAAATGCCACCATGTAACACCTACGTGATCTCAATCAGAATCATGGCATATTCATTATTAGTGTGATTTCTTTCGGTGAATTATGAAAAATCTCTACCTCGAGCGTTAGCCTCCTTCATATGAAGTTAAAATCCATTTTATTTAGTAGAGGCTGTAGGTGTTTAGCTCAAGGGAAACAACACCATCAAAGCATTCAGCTTAGCTTCGAATCTCCAGATGACTTGTACGTATATTTTATTATTTTGTAGTTAGCTACTAATGAGTAGTTAAAAAAGTCTGTTCAAATATGTTTGCTGTTCTATTCATCAACTGTCAGAATTAAAACTGCCTGATTATTAAGTTTTTTTAAATGATATATTCTTTCGACTAATTAAAATAAAGTCATCATCTTTCACGCTTAGTTCCTTCGTAATGGTGTGCCGAAAATTTTAGTTATGGATTTTAAAACCTTCATCCATACAATATAAATCGGGGTTAACCATTGAAATAGTTTCTCAAGATCAATGAACAGTACGGTAAATAATGCAATAAATGAATTCCGACTATATTTCAAGTGAACAAAATGTTAAACATAGATCAAATATTACGAAGGCTATAAATTTCAGGCATTAATTAGCATAATTCTGATGAAGTTTCATATAATGAAAGATGATTAACAGAAGAATATTAAGTTCAGCTTCACATAAGGAATGAAGAACATATTCTCATTGTATGGGAAGCATCGTCGACAAACAAGGAGTTTCAGATGTAGACGTAAAGGCGAGGATTGGCAAAGCAAGGACAGCATTCGTTCAATTAAAGAACATATGGAACTCTAAACAACTTTCAACAAATATCAAAGTCAGAATCTTCAATACGAACGTCAAGGCAGTTCTACTGTACGGAGCTGAAACTTGGAGAACTACAACAACCACCATCAAGAAGGTGCAAGTATTTATCAATAGCTGTCTACGCAAGATACTCAACATCCATTGACCGGATACCATCAGCAATAGACTTTTGTGGGAGAGAACCAACCAGCTTCCAGCGGAAGAGGAAATTAGGAAAAGACGATGGAAATGGATAGGACATACATTGAGGAAATCATCAAACTGCATTACGAGACAAGCGCTAACTTGGAATCCTGAAGGGAAGCGGAAAAGAGGAAGGTCAAAGAACACATTACGTCGGGAAATAGAAGCGGATATGAAAGGGATGAATAAAAGCCGGGAAGAGCTTGAAAGGATTGCCCAGGACAGGGTTGGATGGAGAATGCTGGTGAGCGGCCTATGCTCCTTCACGAGGAGTAACAGGCGAAAGTAAGTAAGTAATGGGAAAATTTCTTGTATGACTAACAATACTGACTGCTGAAAACACCCAATTATATGCTGAAGACTAGAAACATAGTTACATCTAGTTTTATCCTATTCATTATGCCTCGTTATCATTTTCCTTGTTGTTGTTGTGATTATTGTTATTATTGCTATTAAAAATTTTCCTTTTCATCATTAGAAATCCTGACAATTCAAACTAGTTTGTGCAACTGTACCAAGAACTATACACCATTACAGTCAATCAACCACAATATTGTGTACTAATTTATTGGAATAAACAAATAACAAATAAATGTAGTTTATAAATATTTAACTTAATTGGCACAGTAGTGTATATTTTGTTAGTTATTGTTTGAATTAACCTGGCATTTTCACAAGGGAGGTCTTTAAGTTACTACATTTTTATCACTACTATTATTATTACTACTACTACTACTATTAATAATAATAATAATAATAATAATAATAATAATAATACTTCCACTGTTGTTTTTGTTATCACAAACTATCTCAAGCACTTACTTATTAGTAAATCAAATATTTCCATACATCAATCATGTTTGTTTAGTATATACACGCAGAAATAAACATTTACGAACAAATTTAAACGGAAATGAACCAAATATAGAGGATAAGCTTCCCAATGTGTTGAGTTTAATTTCAATAGAAAAATTTCA